AGTGGTATGATTTTCCAGTGGGAATAGGATAAAGACCTCAAGAGTCTGTATGAACTATATTTATTAATTTTTCTTTAACAGTTTGATAGAATTCTTTAATTATCTGAACCACTTTTTCTTCTGTTAATTCTTTTGCAGCTAGCTTAATTTCCTTTTGTAAAATTGGATTAAGATCTCCAGTTACCATTTTACTAATTTGTATAGTTATTTAAAAAGATTGTAACTAACGTTGAGAATGTAAAAGAAATAGTAGATTCTGTAATTATTTTATTGTTGTGAATTTCACCTTTTTTGTTTTATTAGTTTTTCCTTTTTAATATGGTTGGCTAAAGGATTATTAACCTTTAGGTTTTTTTTTTTTTATAAAGTCAGTTCTATACTTAGCTTTCTAATTTATTTCTCTAATTTTCAAGATTTCCTTTTCTTATTTTGCTTTTGTTAGTTTTCTCTCATTTTTAATTACATATTTAGTTAAATTAAATCCTCTCATTTATCAAACTGTCTTTTGAGGGGTATAATTATTTTTTTGCCCCTCTCAGGACAGCTAGAGCTATGCCCCAGACATTTTGGTATATTATCACATTGTTATCATCATTGTTCAAATATTTACTAGATTATAATTCAGTTCCCTAAATATTTATTAAATCCTACATGATATAAGTTAACTTTTCTTCTAGCTAGGGTCAGGGAGTTTGTCAGTGTCAGACTTCCTTCCATGTAACCAATCTATGTTTTGCAGTCTTAGAAGATTTACAAAACACTAGTCAATATTAAAGTGGTTATGGAACAGTAACACATTAATGCATTGTTGGTAGAGTAGTGATTTAATACATTCATTTCAGAAAACAATTTGGAATTATGAAAATAAAGTAGCCAAAATATGCTACTCTTTGACTCAGAGATTCCGTATGCCCCAGGATGGTCATTAATAAAAATAAAGGCTCCACATACCCCAAAATATTCAAAACATAAGTTTTTGTGGTGGGAAGGAACTGGAAACAAAGTAGATGCCCATTGATTGGAGAATAACTAAACAAACTGTTATATGTGATTGTAATGGAATATTAATTTGCTTTGAGAAATAAGGAATACGTGACCCGGGGCAAGTCATTTAACCCTGATTGCCTCACCAAAAAGAAAAAAAAAGGGAAATAAGGAATACGATGGATACAGGGAAGCATGGAAAGATTTACATGAAGTAATGCAAAGTATAGTCAGTAGAGCCAACAAAACTATCCACAAAATGACTATAACAATGTAAATAGAAAGCAAAACTGCACAAATACCACAAATAAGAAAAAAATATAGCAAAATTACAGAGTTAGCTTGGTTCTAAGAAGAGGAATGAGGAGACATTTTCTCCAACTCCTTTGTAAAGGTGGAGAGTGAGGGATATAAGGACATTGCCTATATTGTTAGATTTTTTTTTTTAGATTTATTCATTGTTTTTGCTGATTTTTTTTCTTTTAGATAGTTTTTTTATTTAAAATTTTTATATAGTATACCTTTCTGGGAGAGGACAGGGAAATTTTAGGAAATATAAAATAAAATCAAAATTGATTTTAAATTAAGTTCCTTGAGACTTAAAACCACTAAGTTACTTCTTTGTCATCATCTATCTAGTAAATTTTGGAAGTAGGCTTTTAAACTTCAGTTTTACTGCCTGCAGATGCAATCCTCTTTTAACTAAGTTGGACTTTCTCTATATTCAAAGTTGCCTAGGGTATAAAGACAAAAATGAAAAGTAACAATTCCGTGCTGTGGGTTCTTTTGATAGTACCACTTTCAACTTAATTTCATCTCGTAGAATTTTCCCAACAGTAGGAATAAAAGAGAAAACTTACACAGGACATTCTGGATATGAAGATCTTATTACTTAGTCTGTTATAACAACATTATTAAGAGGAGGGAAATAATGGATGAGTTCAGGTTATCTTTATTAAGACTTTTAGATTTAATTCTCCTTTAATGATAGAGTCTGACTCAGATTGTCATTCATGTGCCTGGGATATGTATTTTACATGCTTTTCTGATTGTAGAGATCAAAAAAGCTTAATCATTGCGCAGAATGATTCAGAACAATATAGCATCTCTACATGTTAAATCTGTGAATGTCAGAACAAGAAGGTATCATCTAAATGCATTGTTGGAGAATATTACTGTGTTCCATTGATAGATATGAGTTATACAAAAGGTTATTGAGTATTGATTATAGGTAAGATTTTCCTATAAATGTAAGTCAATAAATTCTTTTAAATTTAGAGTATGTTTCAAATCAAGTCATGCAAAATGTTTTCTAGAAAAATTTAATACTCTTCAGTTTTATTTCTATAATTTATTAGTCTTTGGAATAAAAATAGCAAACATGTTAAACTTGTGCATCAAAAATATGGCTGCTAAAACACTGAAATGTAAATGTCTTGTTGTAAATAGATGATTAATGTAGAGAACTCAAAGGTTTTTAAAAACAACTTACTGAAATAAAGAGCTTCTTTCCAATGTCTGCATTCAAGCTACATAAATTACAATTGAAGTAATTAACAGTGAACATGAAACAAAGAACATTAATCATTTCTTGTAATTTCAGTAAAAGCTGAAGGGCTTGTAAAATTCAGATAGAATTGTATAACAATTGGCAAACCAAAGTAGGATCAGCAAATATGAAATGAAGTCTTGAATTAATATTCATATGTATATTTAATTATCAGTATTAATTCTTATAACTGATTGTTTTTCATCTCCCATAAATTAATTTTTGGTACCAAGTATCAGTGTTATTATGGGTATGTTAAACTTGCCCATGTAGCAGATGTTTGTAAATTGATTCACTTTTAACTTCCATTATTACACTACAATTACTACTAATTTCATTAGTTAAGCTAGGACTTCTTTTTGGTAGTAAAACTGCCCACAGAATATTAAACAATACATTCTTAGAGACAGAGAACAGGAAAAGGATGATTTATCATACCCCTTTCTGATGGCTAAATTTTAAGGAATCTTCTTCTTGACTTACTGATTTTAATTAAGGGTACCACCATCCCCCCAAACATTTTGATAACTTCTGGGATATCCTTGATCCCTCACTCTCCCTTGCCTCCTACACATCCAAGCAGTTGCCACCTCTTATGGATTCTATTTGAGAAGATTGAATTGATCCTGTATCATTTTCTGATTGATCCCATTTGCAATTAATTCCTTTTGTCCTATGGCTACTTAAGTCATGATTCTTTGTCTTTGAACTTAGCTCAGAGATTCCACTGGCCTGTAATGTGTTAAGTTGAAAACCCCAGCTCTCCTGTTCATATTTGATCTATTCTTTCCTCAAGGAATTTAGCTAATCTTGGGGGATGCACGTGAACAAAAAGGAGTCTGCTAATAACTTTACATCACAAAGCTATCCTTTTAAGGATGTTTGGTTGGCTGTCCTCTATCTTGCCTCTATCTTGCAACTGGACTCTCAGGAGAGTAGAGGGTGGTTGTTAGCCCTTCGCTCTAATCAGTCGTGTTTTCCTCAGTCCTATGACATCATCTAACCTGTTCTATTCTTTTTTCTGTACTCCCCAAAATCTATAAAAGAGGAGTTGCCCTTTTGCTCAGGGTCTTTGGCATAAATGGAGGCAATCCACTGATCCATTTATTGACAGGCAGCATATCCCTGTTAATAAATATTATTTTGCTTGGAGAAACATGCCTCATTTTACCTTTTTGTTAAATTTCACTGGTGAAATACCTGCACAATTCCTTTTGCGGCTAACTTTTTCTTACTGTTCACAGGTTCAAGCCCTCATCTTTTGCTTAGACTGCCGCCTTGAGTCTCTCAACAGGTTTTCAACAGGCAATCACCACTTCATGAAATTTACCTGAAAACTAGGTTTATTACAAGATGAACATACATGTGGAACCCAAAGAGTACACAGTGGTTAGACTGTTGGGCCTGGAATCAGGAACAACTGAGTTCAAATCCAGCCTCACATACTTAGTAGCTGGATGACCCTGGATTAAGTAATTTAACCTGTTTGCCCCAGTCTCCTCAACTGTAAAATAGGGGTAATAATAACACCTACCTCTCACAATTGTTGTAAGGATTAAATAAGAAAATATTTGTAAAGTGCTTAGCAGAGTGCCTAGCACATAGTAGATGCTTAAGAAATGCTTAACTTATTCTGTCTTCCCAAATCCCTTGGACAATTTTTGGTTACAGTTTTCTTTTATGACTAAGTTGTCCAAACTCTTTAGAGTCATGGTGGATCTCATTTATGAGGCTTTATAGTGACCCTATGATTGATGAAACCAGCAGTTTCATCCACAAACAGAAGTTCACATTTTACATGGGAAGTAACTAAAGGTAAGGGGGATTTAAAGATTTAATCAGATTCACAGAGCCAGTAAATATTGATGTCAGACTCTGACCAAGGTCTTCTGCCTCTTGGACCACTGCTTTTTCCACTATATTGGGCACACACACTGTGTGTATTCATGGATAAACAAAAGTCAATGAGAAGGATTAGGGAAGAGAGGGAAGAAAAATTTAAGAAAAGTAACTGCTTTGGTACAGATGATTTAGCATATTTAGGAATATGTATATCTTGGATTTAGACATTTGTGGCACTTGCATAGCTTTTAATATTCATTGAAGAACCAATCTAGAAGCCTTTAAGGTTATAAATTAGCTAGCTCCTTATACATAGCTTTTGAAGATTCCTCATACCTTGTAGGTAGGTCATTGATGCTGTTCTTGTCAGAGGGCTGTGTAAAGTATCAGGTATGACATAACAAGACTCCAGCATAGCCATGTGCATTTGGCTGTTGGAAAGACATACAGAATCAAAATTGCCCTTGCAAACACATAAGCACCTTCTTCTGCCTTTCAATTAATTGGTCAAGACTGCTTTCTGAAATGATCTTAATTTGAGAAATTCTGAAAAATCTTAATTTTAAAGTATGACAGATTCTAAAAATTAAAAATAATAATCTTTTCTTTTCTTTTTTTTGCCTAGGTGTATGATTGCTGATGAAGTAAGTGATGTTTCTTTGTTCCATTGTCTTATATCAACATCAATACTTGTAAATTTTATAATGTTATTTAAGAACTGATGAATTATATCATAGTATTTCTCAGATTGTTTCATAGAATCTTATTGTACAACACGATTTAAATAGGGGTTCTAAGAAAAATTTTTGATGCTATCATTTCCCCTCTAAAATGTTAACTGTGAAATCATAGATGGTAACCCATATGTGGACCCATATCAGGATCTAGGTTCAAATGTCAACTCTGCTATTTACTATTTGTGTGGCCTTGGACAAACCATTTGACCACTTTAGACCTTGATTTCTTCATCTCTAAAATGAAGAAGTTGTACTAGATAAATTCTAAGGTGCCTCCCAGCTTTCCAAATAAAACAGGGCTTCTTAATGCAGGCTCTGTGAAATTGTTTCTTGTTTTTTTAATGTTTTGATAGTTGTACTTCAACATAATTGGTTTTCTCTGGAATTCCATGAATTTCATTGAGTGAATTTAGAAACATTATTCCCAGAAGGGATCCATATAGACTTTCCTAGAATGCCAAAGGGGCCCATGACACACAAAACAAGGATTAAGAATCTCTCCTACAAAGGATATATGATCAAAAAATACTTATTTAACATATTAATTTTTCCAAAATGAAAATGGACTTAATTTCTCCTGTTCTGCTCATCAATTATGTAACCCCATGCTTCTCTCTCTAACATTTTTGGACAGTGTCACAATATTTCAAGGCCAAAAGTATTCAGTAGACAAGTTAGAGAAACATTTAATTAGAATATGATGTGTGGTTTTAAAAGAAGACTAAAATAAAAAAAACATGAGAAGAAATCTTTCATATATATTAAAATATTTCTTAGAAGTTGAACTGTGAGCTTTACTTGAAAGGTCATTTTAAATTATTTCTGATATATAAGATGTAGTGAAATGCCATCAAGAATGTCATGTTTTCTTGCAATAGACCTCTCTGTCTGATATTGTAGATATTTTTACAATCCGTAAACAGTTTGCTAAATTGATGTGATACCTCTTTTTATATGGATTTTGAAAGTAAAAATGGAATTTTCAGAGCTTGTTATGAGAAGTTATTATCCTTTTTACATGTCTCATAGAAATGTAAATTCATTATTTTCTAATTCCAGATTAGATTCTAAATTTTACTGAGAAACCTGATGATGCTTTTGATTACTCCATTAAGAACAACAGTGATACTTTGTACTTGTACATTTCAGAATGCATTGAAAATAAAGAGGATTAGAATCTGAGTTTGTTATGAATATGTAGAACCTGTGTCATAAACAGATTTATCATCATAGAATAATTTGTCCATTATTCTCAACATTTTTTTAAAGCATTATTAAGTCTTCAAGGTCTTTGCTATTTAATAATGATTAGGTGAATTTTACAAAATAGCTCATAACTGAACAAGTCATCAAGAATTTAAGTGCCTACTATGTGCCAGGCATGGTGCCCACCTTTGGGGATACAAAGAAAGGCAAAAAGATAGTCCCTGCTCTCAGGAAGATCACAGTTTAATTGGGGGAAAAAAACTGCACAAACAAGATGAATTCAGGATAAATTGAGGATGATTGGCAAAGTGATGGCACTGGCATTAAGGAGGAGTTTGGAAAAGGTGGTGCAATGGATACAGTGCTGGAGCGGAAGTCAGGAATAACTGAATTTAAATACAGCTTCAGACACTTCCTAGGCTTGTGACCTTGGGCAAGTCATTTAACTTCTGCCAGCCTCAGTTTCCTCATTTGTAAAATGGTGATGATAATAGCACCTACTTGTCAAGGGTGTTGTGAGGATAAAATTAGATATTTGTAAAAGCACTTTTCAAATTTTAAAGCTATGTGTAAATGCTATTATTATGGTTATAATTAGTACAGTTTTCCATGATTATAATGTCGTTTAAAGGTTGCTAGCTTTTCTTTCATGTTATAGTTTTTTTTTTAATCTTTCTGCAGTATTAGTTGCTGTGGAACATCTTGCTAGTTACCCCTCTCTCTTACAAGGATTTCCATGATACTACTTTTTATTGGTTTCTTATTCTAACTGGCTGCTCCTCACTGTTCTTTCCTGGTTATCATCCTTGCCTCACCCCCTTTGCATGCATGTACCCCAGGGCTCCTTCCTAGTTCTCTTCTTTCTCTAGCTGATTTCATTAGCTTCTGTAGATTCTTTTTTTTATCTCTATGCCAATTACTCACTATCTCTCTCTCCTCTCTCTCTCTCTCTCTCTCTCTCTCTCTCTCTCTCTCTCTCTCTCTCTCTCTCTCTCTCTCTCTCTTTCCCTCTCCCTCTCTCTCCCCCCCACTTCCCTGTCCCTCCCTCCCTCTCTAGTCTCATATCACTATTTGTCTATTTGATAGTTCAGACATTACAAGATGACCTATAAGTATCTCAAATTCAACTTGTCCAAAACAGAACTCCTTATCTTTCTTTCTTCTTAACTTTGTATTACCACTCCCAATGTTAGTACCCTCCTTGCCTAAACTACCTGGTATTTATTTGATATTTTTCTTTATATAATATATGTATACATGTGGAATCTCTAATAGAATATATATAGAGAGAGCAAGTATTTTTGGCTTTGTATTTCCAGAGCTTTGTATATAACCTGATACATAGTTGGTGCGTAATAAATGCTTGTTAATGTTTGATTGATAGGTTCAAGTACTAACTTTTTTTTTGGCATTTAAGGCTCTTCATAATCTGGTTCGAGCCTAGCTTTCCAGACTTGTTCTCCTTTATTCCATTTTATGTCTCTTTGGGTTAGCTAAACCTTCAATCCCTGCCACAGATCTGTCTCCACTGCATCCCATCAAAGTGATCAAACTCAGCTATCAAAGTGGTCTTCCAAAAGCATAGATCTGACCATGTCACACCTGTATTCAGTAGACTCTGCTGGTTCCCTATCACTTCAAGATCAAATATAAAATCCTCTGTTTGACATTCAAAGCCCTTTTATAACTCCCTCCTGACACATTTCCAATCTTTTTACACCTTATTTACTACAATGTATTCTCTTCAGTAACACTGACTTCCTTGCTATTCCTCTCACAAGACACTCCTTTTCCTGACTCACCATTTCACTGGCTGACTCCCATACGTGGAATGTTCTTCTACTAATCATTGCCTCCTTGGTTCCCTAGCTTCTTGAAAGTCCCAGTTGAAATCATACCTGTTAGAAGCCTTTGTTGTTGTTGTTGTTGTTTCTGACCCTTTGTGACCCCATTTGGAGTTTCCTTGGCAAAGATACTGGAATGGTTTGTCATTTCCTTCTCCAGCTCATTTGACAGATGAGGAACTAAGGCAAACAGGGTTAAGTGACTTGCCCAGGGTCACATGGTTAGTTAGTGTCTGAGGCCAAATTTGAACTCAGGAAGATAAGTCTTCCTGATGCTAGGCCCCCACACTCTATTCACTTTGCCAACTATCTGCCAAGACATAACTGAAAAGAAAGCATACAAATGAAATGTCTATGTGGTAGTTACATGAAACATCATTTTTCCTTTGTTCTCTTTCTAAAGATTATGGTTTTCTCCCTTTCTGGCACATAGTTTATCTTTTTATTTAGCATTTATGTATCACTTTAGAGTTTGCAAGGCACTTTGAAAATATTATCTCATTTTATCCTCACAACAACTCTGGGGGGGGTGTACTGTTGTTGTTATTATTATTATTATTTTTTTTTTTGGTGAGGCATTTGGGGTTAACTAACTTGCCTGGGGTCATACAGCTAGTGAGTGTTATGTGTCTGAGGTCAAATTTGAACTCACATCCTCTTGACTCGAGGGCTGGTGTTTCTATCCACTGTACCACCTAGCTGTTATTATCACCCCTGTTTTTACTGATGAGGAAACAGAGATAGACAATGAGGTCAGGTAACTTGCCCAGGGTCACACAACTGGGAAGTGTCTGAAATTGGATTGGAACTTAGTTCTTCCCAATTCTAGGTTTAGTACTTTATCCAGTGTGCCAACTAGGTGCCTCATTTTCCTTAAATCAGAGTAGGGGAAAAAACAGCTTATAAATTTGAAAGTCATATTTAAAAAAAAACTGTAACAGAAGGATATGTTTTGATGTAATGAATTTGTAACTCATTAAATTGCTAAGAGGATTACTAAAGTATTTCTACAGCTATCTCATTGAACCTATATTTTAGACAGTTTAAATACTCTGAATATTCTGCAATTCAACTGTCTACTTTAATCTTTCTTCCTTAGCTTTGAAAACCAGAGTTCCTCTTTTGCCAGTATTAACCCTCCTCCAAATTTTTTTCCTGTTTTTTCCAGCATTAGCTTTTAGTAATTCATTCATTCTTGCTAAGATTGTAATCCATCTACTGTACTATATATAAGACAGGCATTACTTTTTAATTTCCATTATGGGATTAGTTTCGATTAACTTAATTCTTCTGATAGTCTAATGAAATTGAAATATAGTTCTGGTTTCAGTTACAGTATTGTACTTCAAATAACCAATAGACCTGAAATCTTATTATAAAATTAATTTTTGTCAATCCTAGCTTGAATAATTTTAATTGCTTCCATTTTATTTTTCTCTTGGTTAAGCATAATTAAGTGTTGTTTCACAGGCAACAATATGAATGTAAAAAAGCCAGTGTGAATTTGTATTTCGCATATAAAATAATAAAAAAATCCAAATACTCTAATCAATATTTCACTGTGACATTCTACCCTTTTCATTTTTTGTAACAATTGTTATTCAGTGGTTCTTTGCTTAATTTACTCATCTGTCTTCTAGTTTTTATTTCAGTAATTGAGAAAAAATTCATGTTAAATCAAATTAAATTTTTTTTGTCAGTTTCTTTAGTGATTGGGATTTCTTTTAAATTCTTTTTTATCTTATTTTAGGAATTTTTGTATTGAATCAATATTGTTAAATGTATCAATAAGATTTTATCATAAGATCATAGATTTAGAACTGGGAGGTACTTTAAAGGCCGTGAAGTTCAGTCTCT